TAAGGGGGTGGGGTCGTATCATACTTGGCCGTTGTTGTGGGAGGGACTGCCAAAGATCTATACAACTAATATTTCCGGTAGTTGAAAATGATAGTTTACTCCTGACGACCTTCCCCTCCCCACAGTCCCCCCCCCCCTACCAGCTGGACAGCAAAATTTCGGGGAACAACCAGAAGGAAATTTCGGCGGAAAAACTGTTAGGAGGTTAGGACGATCTGAGAAATTTCCCTGTTTCACATGTGGTATATACCTTTCTTTCCCCCCCCCCCCCCCCCGCTCGAAAAAAATGGTACGAGGTTAAAATTGGTGGGAAAGTCTGGGAAAGTGCTGGGTAGTATGGGGAAGTTGTCGTATCTGAAGACAGAATTAGGAGGAGGTCGTATTCTTCAGGAAATGATCATAACGCGACAGCGTGCTCTGGCTCCATCGTTACTGAACACGTTCGCGGCAGAGTGAGTGGTTGATCTGGTTCCACGCTGGTCGTATAGGTGGAGTCTTGTGTCACTGCGGCTTTCTTATTGATGGGTATCTCTCCTCAAGATAATGAAGAGTAGAGACGCACCTTTGTGGAAGGCGCAAGGGTCCAAAATAACTTCGCCTTTCGATCGATCAGCGGATGTTTTTTGAGGCAGCATTTGTTTCTGTAAATTTTGAAAGTCTCATGTCCTGGTTCATTCTCTTACCAGACGAGACGGATCGTTTTTTTACAGCGATATCCATTTTGAATACTTATCCATGTTTTTCTTCGTATGTACAATAGAAGGTAATTTCCGATGATTTCCAGGTAAAGGAGAAGTGTCTCGATGCGAAATACCGTACAGTACCGTATTCGGATCGACCAAATGCAAATGACTTGGATTTGGAGTGGCGAGCGGGTATCAACGGTCGTATGGTGTTGCAGGTGGGTGCTTTGCTGTAGTGGATATTGGTAACCAGGACTCTTCATGTCACTGGTTGAAATTTTTGCAAAATACGATCCCCCCAAATTTCCTCCTTGGTAATTTCCTCCTCCATCCGACTTTTCCCAACTTTTTGCGAAATTCCCCTGTTTTTCCTCAAAAACTGCCGTCGAACGGGTAAAGGGGGGGGGGGAAGTCGCCACCAAGCAACTACCCCAACTGGGATACCGAAATCAGTAATGGTATGTATCGAACATTAACGGCGCCACCAACTGGGTGGAGGTGGTAGGGGGGGGGGAGGGTCCGCTGGGAATTCCCTATCGTGCAATGTGTTCTGTTGGTAATGGTTCGACATGTTGTCATTGATTTGTTTATCTGTAGTTGTTTACTTGTTTATCTTTAACTGTTCAGGATATTGATGCTACTTCGCGTGTAGAACCAAATGGTTGGAAACGTCTGAACACGCTGTCACATTACAATGTTCCGAACAATGCCGTACTGATGTTGATCGCTAGGCAAAATTCGTTGTATAATCTTGTAAGCCTTTTGCTTTATTTTATTTTATTTATTTTTTTACTTTTGTTTTTCTTTTTTCGGAAATCTTCATCTTTTATTTACGAAGATGCCTACGGTTTTTTTGGAAGGAATTACCTGTATTTCACGTTGACCGTTCCTATTTAAAATGGATCTGGCAGGGTTATAGCATCGTTGTGTGAAACAGATAGGGGGTCGTATTTTTTGGCTAGAGGAGGCGAAGGCTTACTGATTGTTGTTGATAGAGGCGTGGCTCGTATGTGGCGTTTGACAGGAATATTTGCCGCGTTGGCGCAAAAAAAGGTTTCCCGGTTATTGGCTTGTCCCGCGTTGATTTATTTTGTCCTATCTCATATGTACTAGTACCCCCCCCTTCCCCGTTCAAACAGCGAAATTTTTTGGAGAGAAGCGGGAATTTTTGGGAGAAAGTAGAAAATATTCGGGAAACTCCGGAAAGTTGGTAAAAAGTTGGGGTAACTCTAAGATATTTTCTCTTCCCCTTCCCCCACCCGGCTCGACGGAAAAATTTCTGGCGTGAAAACTAACTTGTGGGAAATTAGAATGGGAGGTAAAACGGTGCTGGGGAAGGTGTGGGAGGCGGCTCGTACCGAGACCCTCATTAGGTCGGTGAGAGTCTCATTACCAAGACCTCCTTTCGAGAGGAGGCGGGGGGCCGTCGCTATGGCACTACCTTTCATACATCACGATGCTGTACCCTGTCTATTGAGCGAAAAGGCGGACTTGAAGCGGGACTAGGTCGTAAACACCATGGTCGTCTACGCCCTGCATAGTGGATTCGCCTTGTGGGAAATAGCACGCACCCAGCGAAAGGGTCGTATGTTGTCTTTGTGAGAAGTTCTACTTTATCTCGATTTTTCCGGATTTTCATGGCCATATTGCACAAACCAGTCTACTCCGCTCCCGTCCCCGTTCCACGCCAGTTTTTGGGAAAAATCTCCGATAAAGTGGTAGGAAGTTGGGAAAATTTAGAAAGATAGTAGGTAAGATGGGAGAAGGGGGACTCGTGACAGCGAAGGGAATTTGAAGACGGGTCTTATTCTGCACAAAATTCCCCCAATGGCAGGAGGACGCTCTGCGTCACACCATCTTGAGCAGTCTGTCACATTTTTGGTGTTCCGATTTCCGAAAATAACTTTGATCGTAATAGATGAGATTTTCACAATATTGTTAATGTAATATTGTTTTATTTTATTTTCTGATCCCAATTGAATATTACCGTTTTCGTGGTCTCAGTTTTATTTATTTTTGCCTTGTTATTTATTATTTATGGTATTATCTTTTTACTTTACTGTAAGCTGTCTATATGTTTAGTCGTTGTTATCTGAACGAAGTGAAAAGTCGACGTTGAGCCTGAAGAATAGCCCAACATTATCAAGACCATGGGTTGGAACGAACAGTAGCAGTAATTCCAAGGTAAGTTCTGTCAATGCTATGCTTGTAATTTTTGCAATCAAGGGGGCTCCCATTTACCATTTTGCCACTTTTACAATTCATGGGTTTACAAATCTTATAGAAAAGTAGAAACCTGTTAATCAGCATGAACTGGCAAAAGGAACTAAAGCTCAGAATGTCACTCCCGAGTTTGTCCTTTTCTATTCTCACGTCATTGTTAAACCAAATCACATTCAATAAGCCACTGCGATTTTGAATTAAAGTAGAATAACTGCCGCTTCTCTGGGAGGGTTGACGCTTCATCCCTTCATCTTTTACCCATCACTCATGAACTTCATGCTAATCGACTACCGATTTTAGGATGCTGAAGGACAGAAGCTCTACCACCTTGTCAAACCGTCCGAACATGGTCCAAACGAGAATCAGGAGAAGATGGTCACGGAAATCTACCTCACTAGGTTTGAACAGATCCCTTTTATATTCTCGTTCCGGGACTTTTTTTGCTCAAAGTATATGCAGTTTTGGAGTTGAAAAGTGTACAGAGCCGTGTGCGATAGGCGGGGCTCGCGCGGGGGGGGGGGGTGGAGTTTGTCATTGGGGCGAGGATAGTTCATTCAGTTACTCCAAAATAGTTGAAGACCTGCAGAGGCGGGGCAGTTCACAGCATCATGGTAAATGAGGTGTTGATTGCAGGTTATTGATGATGAAAGGAACGCTACAGAAGTTTATCAACGATTTGCTAGAATCAATATTTTCGACGGCATCACGATCGGCACCATTACCAGCTGCGATCAAGTACATGTTCGATTTCATGGATGAGCAGGTGCTACATTGATTTTTTTTTAGTTTTCTATCATTACCCCTATAAACGATGGTGGAGTCCGCTACGGGTGAAGTCATTCAGAGTTCTCATATTATAAGGAAACGAGAAATACATGGGAAGAAAAACTGTTACAAAGCAGCAAGGGTTGTTTCGACCCTGACCCTCGGATAAACTGTTCTTCTTGTTCTTGTTGTTAGATTTTGTTAGTTCAACCCCGAAAGAATGATATGTGGGGATGGGAAGCGCGCCAACCGACTGGACAATCGAAGTGGGTGAGCGGGGATGTTACGTGCGGGCGTTTCAACGGTGGCGCTGGTGTACTGTTAAATCCACTCAAGGATTGTCCTGTCCCCCAAAGCTTCGAACGAAAATCCTCATGACGATCTCTGCGAACAATAAGGTGTGTGACGCGGCGCGGTCTGAAGCGCGGCTAGGGTGGGCTTGTTCCAACACTTGTGTCATCCTGAGCTCGCTACAACTGTGTTAAATCTGCCTTGGCTGCCTTCCAAGCCACGCTCCTCACACGCCCTGTCTTTTACAGGGATCATGACTCTACTTTAAGGACCCCTTTCTCAGATGAAGCCTTTGACTTGGTTGTTAGTTTGTCTCCGGTAACGAATTTTGATAGAGGTCTGACCCTAATTTTGAAAAGTGAAGAGGAAACATGCAATTTAAACAATGCAGAAAAAGTTTTAATTATTTTGATTGTCCACATTTCAGGCGCTTGAACACGGTATCACCGATGCGGAAGTGGTTCATGCATGGAAGAGCAATGCGTTGCCGCTCAGGTTCTGGGTGAATCTGATCAAGAATCCACATTTTGTGTTCGACATTCAGAAGCCAACCAAGGTATTGATCAACTAGTAGTTCGTTTTCAAATAGCTGAAGTGTGTACAGTCTTGTTGGCTCCGGATGCTGGAGCATGGGGCAAGTTTTGCACAGAGCCAGCCCGTATTCCATCAGTTGTTTTCGCTGTGTTGTTTTAACAGCTGATGGGAAACGGGTTGGTGCTGCGCCAAACCCAGCCCCACGAATACCCCAGTATCCGCAGCTAACTTTGAGAGTAAATGAGGTAGCAAGTCCGAGGTCTTAGATTGAGCTGCTCGGTAAAGGGCAGATACGGTCCATTTGCGGGTGCTTCAAGGTTTTCGGCAGCTATCCTAAACACATCTATCTAGATGTCAACAGTCACATTGCGTGGTAACTTGTCGAACAGCAATAAGGGCGGAGACAATCAGCGATCGTGTTTTCCTCATTGGTTCGACCCTCCTGGGTCGGACGAATGACGAAAGCACGCTAGCCAAATGAAAACACAGTGGCGCGGCGCCTCCGTCCAGGCGATTAGCCCTCAATGTGCCTTTGACCAAAAAGCCATGACGCCATCCGTTGTTCCATGTACTGCTTGATGTTACTAAATGCTAGCCACCGAGTTGCGGGAGAGGGTCAAGACAATCGTGATTTGTCGCTTCGCCGCGCGCGGCGTATCGTGTGCTGATGCGCGGTAAATTCTCGATGCACGTCACTCTGTTTATAAGAGTGGCTTAACTCATTCAAATTGAAGCGAAGTTAACTCCATGGAGGGCGATATCGAGTTTTTCAGCCCTACCAACACTCAACACCCCCCCCCGATGTGCCCCGCTGCTGGACGCGCGGGTCTACGGACAACTTGAACTTAATCCCTTTGAATGCGTCGGCCATCTGTTTTCTCTGCACTCTCTCGTCCTTGTTGCATTGTGGTCATTGTGACCTTACATATTCCAGCTTTTCATACATGGTAAGTGGCTCACCCACCCCGGAGTCCCCTCCCCTTGAAAAAGCTCAAACCAAGGTTTGCTACCTGTTTCTTACGCATTTCGATATTCTGGCAACCGCTACCCTCTTTTGTCTGCTTCGCATGGTTTCGTAACACGACCACCACCAAAGGTTCAAGATGTCACGTAACCGTGGACGCGTCGCTCGCCACGCCCACCAGCGCGGCTCATCGGGGGGGGGGGTAGGGAAGGCGAAGCTTGGGCAGTGTTATTTGAATTGCTGTATATTTGTTTCCAGAGCTGTAACTTTTTTTTCAGGTGGAGGGATGTTTGTCCGTTGTGGCTCAAACGCTAATGGACGCTTGTTCAACACAAGACCATCAGTTGACGAAAGACTCACCGTCGAGTAAGCTGTTGTTCGCAAAGGATATGTATCAGTACAGAGACTGGGTGGACAGGTCTGTAGAAATTGGTCACTTTCCTCGTTTTTCCCATATTTACATACATATCTTCTTTATGAGAACTTCATTTCTAATTCTTTAGCTACTACTCCGATATTGCCCGATTGCCGCCGATTTCCGATCAGGACATGGCCTCGTTGCTGAACGAGGAATCTCGAATACATCGTGGCCAATTTCATGTGTTCTCGGCGTTGAATGAGCTCTACAAGTACCTCGATCAGTACAAGGATCCAATTATGGATGCTTTAGAGCACAACGAACACGCTCAAGCAAGTCGACTGCCTGGAAGGTTGCAGGTTGGTTATTTGAATGGTAATTAGCTCTTTGTCTACTGCCCCTTAGGAACTGCGTGAACCCGTAGGTTCTGTTTATCATAAGGGTTGGGTAACGATATCCCTGATGACTGTAGGCCACTCGCCCACTCATAGAAGAGTGATCGCCTCTGAAGGCTGATTGATCGTCCACTTGGTAAGCGTCGTTCAAACTACGCGATCACGCGCTGCTACCCTCTGTAACGCGCGCCGGCGCGCTATCGCAGCGCTCCAATGCTATAGACAGGAACGCAGCCATAGACGAATATCGATCGAGGCCGACAGCTACTGCTCTGTGTCAGCGCGTCGACGCGCGTCATCGCAAAGTCTGAACGCTGCCTCAGGTGGTCGCTGACAGGTCTTGGATTAATAGCAGCATTGACTGTAAGAGTCGCCCAGTACAGATAGAACTATGATTTTAAACGCAGTAAAGACGAATTCTACAGCAAGCAGGCGATTTTTCTCTTCCCAGATGCTCAATTTGGATAGGGTAAGACCTGCGAACTAAAAGATTCCTTTGAAAGGACTTGTTTCATAACTTCACCCGTAATGGCAATGACAGCCAGTTGCTAGTGGTGGGTGGGCTAGATTCGAACTCACCTATGTTCAGGGCTGTATAATTGATGAGTGTGCCAAAATCAGTGACAGTTACTGTAGCGCTTTCGCGTCAAACCAGTTGGAGTGCGTTTATAATACGCGTCAGCGTTTTGAGCGCAGGCCAGCGTTTCAAGCGACTGAAAAGGTATAGGTATCGATCTAACGTCTAGAGTGTATGCCAGCGTACACCAGCATACGCTCAACACGCTAGATTTCTATATCTATGCTTTCCTAGTCGCTGGAAACGCTGGAGTACGCTCAAAACGCTGACGCAAAGTATGAACGTTTTCTCAGGGCCTGGTGAAAATGCCGCGGTGCGAACGATTGATGTGTGGACTGAGTGAGGATCAGCAGCGAGTGCACAGAACATCACTCAGTCTACGCCTAATAAGCCTCTGACGGGTGGGAAGCGAGACTAGCTCGCTCTCGCTTCCCTGCATAACCCCGGAGCACTTCATAATAAAATGTACATCGAATGTACAAAAGGCGTACAACACAGGCTAACGAACTTGGTCAATTGGAACGGACTACGGTATGCCCAGTATGTGCATCCACGGAGACGATATATTCAATTTCACGCGCAATTCTGGGTAGTACTGTATACGGCCTGTTCTCTTGGACTTATAGTCCTGTTTTTCGTATTTTTTATATTTTTATTTTTTTTCACCCGCACAAAAACTTCTTGAACTGTTCACTTATCGTATGATTTTTTTCTAGGATATGTTGGCGCTGATGGAGTCCGATCAGAGCAGGACGGATTACGACAGTTCGACACTGGGAATCGGCTATAATTCAAATAGCCGATTGATGCCTCGCGAACGAATGTAACATCCATAACGAGGAGTTCTTGTCGCCTTCCATTGCCTGAGAACCTAGTCATGTTCCAATCAATCGCTCAATCGATAAATCGATGATCGATCGGTGATCGGCGCGCAGGGTGGTTAACGTCTGCTAGTCCGCACGGGTGTAACGTCACACACACACACGTCACACGGGAATTCTAAATCTATAATATCGACGCAAAGTATGACAATTTTATGAACGTTCTACTAAGGTATGATGATGGCTGTGATCTTTGTCTTCTTTGCGATGTATCATCGATTTTTTAGCGTTGTAAAAAATATTGTGTGTAGCGTCGGGTCGTACATGTAATGCATGCCGTACCAGTGATTAAAAGGATTTATTTTCTGTAATATCATAGTTGTTTGTTGTTGTTTATAGTGTTTATTGATTGATTGCAGAGGTAGGTAGGGGGGGGGTGATGATTGCCATGACTGACACCACCCGCCATGCCTCACGCCTCTTCGCGTTCATTCTCATTTTCATCTTCCCTCAAAAAGCCTCATAATACGATGACGATTGATTTGTATCCGTTGTGCTGCTCAAGAAATCCTATGTATAAAGAAAAGTCCCTGGATAATTGATGGTGCTTTAGTGAATTCGCTTAAGACATATACAGCTGTTTTTCATTTAGATTATCATATTTTGATATTTCAAAATCTCTACTTTTCATCATATGTTTCCATATTGATTGATCATCGTTGAAAGCGCTGCTCTAGTGCATGCGTTTCCGTCTGGTGATAAGTGATAATAAGTGTGAATAATGATTGGTAAAAAAACAGAATGAGATTTAAGACAATTGTGAGCCGTGATATCTTTCAAATATTGTTGACGATTCTTAATGTCGAATATATGCATCGAGCGCAGGGATCTGAATAAATATTTATCGATTTTTTTTTCTGATTTTCGTTGTTGCCGTCGTGTTTCGTCCGGTATTACGTCAATCGATAAATCGATTAGTGGGGCTGTACGGCCCAGGTGCTGGGTTCGGGCAAGGCACTTCATCCGTCGTGTAAATCATAGCGGAGAGGGTCGTATTTGGCCGCTGGGAGGGAGGGACGTATTCTGCTACGCGTTATTTCTCCTATTTTTCCCCGCGATGCGCGCTAAATGCCCCGTAGTTGGTCTAGTTGGTCTAGCGAAACTAACTTCTAATGGCTCCCATACTTGGGCGAAGGAAGACAGGGCGTTTCTATCGCGAGCTCAGATTGTCTGCTCGAGTCGCGCGCGGCAAGTCGCGCAGTGAACGGCGTGACTATTTCAAAACTCCATTACCGTATCCACGGGTCGTTATTGGAACAAGGAATTCGCATCGGTTTACGGCATTCTCGACAAACATTCCGTGACGCATCGTCCGTTCGTGGTCCCTTTAGTGACTTGAACGAGCCATAAGAAAACTAACTTGGACGTGGCCTCTGCGCCGTCGCCAGCCACCCACCAGCACTGCGACCTATTAGTGCCCCGCGACTGAATCGCCATACCCAGTAGAAAACACAGTCGTTATCATTGAAGTCAGCTGCGGCGTGAGCGGGCTTGGTGCCAGTCCGTTTTCCACCTATCGTTGTGGCTTCGGTCATTCAATGAGTGATGGGAAAGGGCTGGCACTGGGCCAAAATTCAACGGCGACTGGTTACCCACGCCGCAATTTCAGTAAAAAGTTGGGTGAGGAAAGAAGGTTCCTGAAAGCGTGGCAAGGAAACTATGAGGAGGCTCATTACTTAAAAAAAAATCCTTCCACAACATTAGATGTGCTCTGTTACGGTCAACCCACATTGTCCCGACCTTCGTGTCGACTGGCGGACGTTCTCGTTACTTGCTTTTGCTCGTTTCTACTAGGCTATGAGCCGTAGTCTTCAGATTCCGTGGTCTGTGACGTGGTTGGCAACAGTAGCAGCTATAGCCGGGGTGGAAGCAGGAGTGTAGTAACGTCATGCTGCAGAGTGGGTGTTGGCGCGCCCATTTGCCACGACAACATAAAGCGATTTCCGTCGCGAATGCTTGGGGCGGGTCTGGGAGCTGGGTTTGGTGGGTGCCAGTTATTTCCCTTCCAGTTTTCTAAGCGAACAGGCGACAATCCTTGTTAGAAAATGGGCAGGCGTTACGCCTAAACTCAACCTCCCTAGCACGCTCAGCATCCGCAGCAAACGAGACTGTAAGTTTCATGCGGCACCATGATCGATCCTCACTGCAACGGGTGCACGCGATGGCCTCCCATTGCCCTCGGGTCGTAACTCTCCTGACCGGTATCACATCATGAAAGGGTCAAGAGGCCACTAACCCGCGCTGTTTCCCTATGTCTTTGTTTCGTTTCTTATGCTGGCATAGTATCACAGTATGCGAGGGAGTCGTGGGAATTCGTTCATATCCGGTTCTGATGAGGACAAGGATAAAGCTTCGGCGTTTGCGCTGAGCAGTGCCTTTTCGGATTGCGCCATGCGACCTATACTTCCGTTCAGAATCATGAAAGCATTTTGTATGCCACTTAGCCTGCACAACATTTTCGGAGCTCATCTAGGAGTCAGTGCTTTTGACCTCTCTTGCGAGTGTGGTGCCAAGTTACTAACCAGTGCGGATGGAAAGCTTAGTTGTTACGGATAATAGTCGTCCCAAGAAAACCTGGAACGTGTTTATGGTGAGCAGCGTAGCAATTCTTCAGATTCCCGGCTGTCTCTCTCACTCGTCATTTCGATAAAAGTCGATGATCTGCCCCACAGGCTACAGAATCATGTTATTTGACACTCCACTTCTCTACGCGCTTCCCTAAGTCATCTTCCTGTGCCAACGCACGTCGCCATGACATACATTTAGGAATTCGTGCTGCGTTTGCTCCATGTTCTCGTACTTTTATAGTGGTCTTCGAGCACTACATGAATCGAGCGTGGCAAATAATTATAAATAACCATATAACTTTATTAAACTACATTAGCAAATAGTTAGGACAAACGTGTTCGATAGACAGATATCAATCGATAGACTTTTGTAAAAGTGCTACTTGTAGTTTAGCATTGAGATTTGCTATTTCTTGAATTCCAATATTTACCGCTGAACGCATTTATTTCCCTCTAGCCTTCTCGCAGTTCTGGAATTATTTAGCAGATAGTGCAGAAATTGAGAAACTTAAATAGTAATATCGCGCAATACTACCTTAATCAGACCAGCAACATCATCAATTTGCTTATTTAGTGATATCTTATCGCTTTCTGCTGAGAGACTCTGAAGAATGCACGATGAACCGGATTGATTCAGGGACAAACTCCACGTTGGTCGTAAGGGCGGGGCCAGACCTGCCATGCTTTCCTCGGTGGCGCGAATACCCTCAATAGAAAGTGAGGGGCTCACCAATGAGTGAGGGAACATGTTGGGCGTGAATCCACTACTACGGTCAGTAAAGATTGGGCTTTTACCAGCTAAAATCAGATACATTGAGCTCACCTTCTTGCCCCTGGATTTTGGCTTCACTTGGTCCTTTGCCCTGAAGAGTTGTTCTCTTTGAATTTTCAGAACACTCATTATGGAACGGTGAAAATG